GTGGGCAGTGCTGGGTGTAGGCGGGGTGGTCCGTGGGCAGTGCTGGGTGTAGGCGGGATGGTCAGTGGGCGTGGGGAGCTGGCACTGGCTCTTGCTGTTGGTCCCCAGGGCCATCAGAGAGCACGTCACATGGTGTCAGAGCAGACAGGTTGCTGGTCTGCCTCTCCCGCCAAACCGTGCCCCTGCAGGGGTGAGCCAGGGTCAGCGTTTGTTCCTGGTGAGGAGCACAGTGTCTGCCTGCGGTTGGGCAGGCCCACAAGGCCGTCAGGGGAAGGGGGAGGAGCAGGCCACCAGTGCCTGAGAAGGCCCTCTGCCGGAGGGGGGAGGCCCGATTCTGTAGCTGAGACGTGAAGGAGAAAAGTTCAGTAATTTAGTCTCCCGTAACCTTGGCCGCGTCCAGTGTGCTGTGGCCCCGAAACAACCTTCCGCTAAAGAAATGGCATCTGGAAAGAGACGGGGGCTCCTCGTCTGAGCGTGAGGGGCGCAGGTGAGAAGCTCATGGACCAAGGAGAAATTATGGGGAAGGGGGAGGACGCGCTCTCGTTCCTTCTCTGTGCGCACAGGCGGTCGGTGACCCTCTGCTCATGGTCCCGTGGTGGCCAGAATAAAGCTCCCCAGGAAGTCCCTGTCCTAATCCCAGAGCCTGCGCCTGTTACCTGGCGACAGAGGCCTTACAGGTGTGACTGGGCTGAGGATTTTGCGAGGGGAGGTGGTGCTAGGTGGCTCGGGTGGGCTTGCCTCCTGGCACGGGACTGTGACGGGAAGAGGAGGCAGAAAGGGCAGAGGAGGGGACGTGAGCACCGGGGCAGCAGTTGGAGTCACGGGACTGTTGGCTCCCGAGACGGGGGAAGCGGCCGCGAGCCGAGGGACGTCACAGCCTCCGGGAGCTGCGCCCGGGAGGGGACGGAGTCTTCCAGGCTGCAGAGGGAGTAAGGCCCCACTGACGTCTTCATATCTGAACCCACTTTGGGTCAGATATCAGCTCAGTTCTGGGCTCCAGAACTGTAGGGTGACAGACCCGTGCCGTTTGAACCGCTCCTTATTATTGGTGGTGATGTGTCACAGCCGCCGTGGGACGGTCATCTCGGCTCCGAGGTGACCGGTGTCTGCCCACGAGTGCGGAGGCCACGGAACTTTGCAGAATGAGACACCCGACTTTGCCTCACTTCCTGTGGGGGGGGGCAGCGGGCCCCCGGAGGGTCTGGCCACACGTCCACCCAAGTCGGTGTTGCGTGAATCCCAGACTCCACCCTCTCTAGAACGAACCCTTGCAGCCCAAAGGTTTCAGGGACCCCAGCTTGGGAAGCACAACAGTAAAAGTTTAATGCTGTCCCCAAAGCACGGATAGGCACGGAAACCGCGTGGCCGTACCCAGTTTCAAGGTGGCCGCACACACGATCTAGAATGTGCGTTTGGACTTACCACTCGAACAAATTAAAACGAAACATAGAAAACGGCATGCCTCTGACCCCGTGTGCACGGAGGTCAGGAAAACTTTCCTAAGTGAAAAGCAAACCAAGGGCGTCTTATGCTGTTCGGCAACACTTTGGCTCCCCGGACCCCAAACAGTGCCTCCCTGTCCCCCGCCCTTCTTGCTCCATCAGCTGACCCAAGGCCTCCCCTCTTCCTGGGAGGTCAGAGGTCAGGAGGGGGGCTGACCTGGGATGATTTTAGTCACAAACAGGGCAAGCTGAGGGAGCTTGTAGCTCTCATTAGAATTATTTCACTCTAAAATGGAACATGAGCAGGGCCTGAGCATTAGGAAGAAATTTTGAGAAAGAAAATAATCAAATAATCATTCTGGAGCTAAATATTATGTCAGAGATAATATACTGATAAATATTTCTTTTGCACACCAGATTTTATAAAGTGTTTTCATGGCCAACCAAACATACCAGTGATGCTTCCACCCCAGGGCCTTTGCACTCGCTGTTCCCCCTGCCTGTAATGTCCCTGCCCCCACACTCCTCCTCCCGCCTCCTGGGCAGTCACAAGCTTTGCTCCCTGACCTCTCCGGGACTCACTCAAAGGTCATCTTCCCCCGAGGGCTTCTCTGACCACCTTATCTGAAGTCGTGACCCTCCCTGCACTGTCTACCGTCTGACATACGTACTTGCTCCTTTCCTATGTGTCTCCCACTGGACGGCAAGCTCCTGCGGGTAGTTTGGTTTTGTTTTTTGTCCGCCTTACACCCTGCCATGCCACGAGCCAAAACAGGGCCAGACACGTGCCAGTCACAGAACAAATATTGCTGAATGAATGAGTGGGTGTTCCACTTGGCCTTGTGCGTGACCCCAGCAGGAGGAGTTGGTATCGTCCTTTCCTGGTAAGGACGCCCAAGGTGAGGGATAATTCACTCTCCTCAGTTCCCGCTGCCAGGATTTGCCTGCAAATCCTTCCCTCTTAAATTTTTTATTAGAAAATCACATATTTAGAACATTTAAGTAATACAGACCTGGAATGAAACAGAGAAAAAAGCCACCCGGAGAACTTTTATTAACATTTTAGTGTTTAGCGAGTGTGCACGTATGTATTTTATATCACACTACAATATACCATTTAGTAGTGAACGCTTTCCCTTAAGAATACATCATTAAAAGTTACGCCAACGAATATATGTCTACCCATGACTTATTAGTGGCTGCGTGGTATTCTATCACACTGACGTGCTACCATTTTTATAATCAACTGTTGGATAGAAAGATTACTGCTGATGTTTTCTTATTTTAAGCAACGTTGAAGAGAATGTATTTGTGACACTGTGTTTACACGCGTCTGATTTTTTCTTTAGATAAATACGTAGAAGTAGGGATTTGCTTCGTTTAAAGAATGTGCATATTTTCAAGCTCTATTGCTGATGACTCCCTGTAACGGCCGCACAAATCTCTGCTTCCCCAGCATTGCACGGGCCGGACCGGTTTGCCTCATTCCTCACCCTCCCGCAGGGCCGGCGCCTGCTACGCAGCCATGGCGGTAGCGCTGGTTACGGATGGGACGGCCGATACGCTACACGCTGGTTATAAAATAAGGCAAATCTCTGCAGTGCTTTTCCACTTTAGAAAGACAGTATTTTTATTTTCTTTAGATTTATAAATATAAAGTAAGCACACAGAGTTGCTGTTTTACTTTGCTGTATTATGATGTTGTAAATTTTTCTTTGCCTTTCTTTCTTTGTAAATTGACAGTTTTTCTCTTGGATTGCTCATTCTTATTAATTTTTAAGAGCTTTCAATCAGATGCAAGGATTTTCTGCTTTCTGTTTTTTTTCAATTGTTTGGTGTTTATTGACACAGCCAGTGAGTCACTCAACGGATCAATCTTAATGATTTCAACTTCTGGGATCTTACTTGGACAATCTCTGTACAACCTCAGGTTATCTAAATATCGACTTAAAGTTTCTATTTTAAATTTCATCTGTAACTTCCTGTTGTATATGGCAAGGAGTGAGGGCTCACAAGTTTTTACCAGTTGGTTAACCAATTAGTCCAATAGTCCTTAACCGATAAACGAATTGCCATATTTATGTTTATTTTCACGCTGAGTTGAGATGCCGCCTTCATCATTCATTGAATCCTTGTCCACATTGGGTCTGATTCTTGTCTTTCTGTTTTGCTCCATGACGAATCTATCAAATTATAATTATAGGACCTTTGTAGTAAATTTTGATATTTGGCTCTCCAGATAGATTGCCATTTTGATTGGAATTCTTAGCTCATTAACTTAAAGCAAATAATGACTTAGCGTTCCCTCTGACATACAGGGTCTCTCCCCCCAAAATGAAAATAAAAATAGCAAAATATAAGCAATAGCTAAAAACTGTCTTGTCAATTTTCTTAGCATTCACTGCCCTTTTAGAACCTCTTTCATCTATTTATTTGAGTCAGAGTCTCGCTCCGTCGCTCAGGCTGGAGTGCAGTGGTGCGGCCGTGGCTTGTGGCAGCTGTGGCTTGTGGCGGCCGTGGCTCGTGGCCTCCCAAAGTGCTGGGATTACAGGCGCGAGCCAACACGCCCAGCCTGGAACCTTATTTATGAAAATTTTCTTGTGGCTCCATTTTTGGAAGATCTCAGTAAAGGTAGATAAATGGGAACTTGTTTTTCTAGTTTTTAAATTTAAATTCTTAAAATTTATTTTTAAACGAGAACATATTTTCAAAAATTAAGAAAAGTGCAGAAAATAACCCAATAGATGTACACGTACTACTGAGCTTAAATGGGTGTTCATGTTTTATCATTTTTGCTGCAGTGTTTTTTTTTTTTTTAAAGACGGGTATGATAAATTCAAGTCCCACCTGCGACTGCTTTTGTTCCAGTCGCCTGCTGCTCACCCCCCTGGGGAGTGAGGATTTCCACCCCAAGGTTACGGGGATGGCTGGACACCTGACCCCCACCGCTGCACAGATGAGAGTGACAGAGATCTGTGAGTCACCTGTATTCACAGCCCAGTTGGGGTGGGGAGGACACCACACACCACACTGGGCCACCAGGGGCTTGCGTTCCGAACAGGGTGAACGACAGGGGTGCGGAAGGCAGGCTGTATAGTATCAAAGGCATGAAGTCACATCCTGCAGGAGGATGTGGTTGGGTGTTTGCATATTTCCAAGGGCTGGCAGGGACCCAAAGCCTGCTGCTCAGGGGTAAGGAGGAGCTGTGCCTGGTCCCTGCCTAAGAAGCGTGGTTTGGCCAGGGCCCTTCTCTGCAGGCACAGAGTGGGGAGGGAACTCGCAGTCACGCCATCCTGGTTTTACCAGATGTCAAAGCAGCACGTGACAATATTGGGCCTTAACTTCAGGCCTTGTACCACGTGTCTCCTTCCCCACCGGTAACCAATATGCCAAACCTGCTATATTTATTCCCATACACGTTTTTGTACATATACATATATATATGTCCCTAAACAATCTTTTTTAAAAAAATTACACCGATGATATGATAGATGCATTTGCAGTGTTCTTTTTCCACCCATTCTTATGTTTTTGAGGTTTATTCTAAAATTATTATAAATAATGTCATTCATATTAGCTGCTGCATAATATAACTTATTTGAATAAATGCAAGTTTCTCTATTCCCCGCTGCACTCTTCCTGATAACAGTGCTTAAGGACAGTTTTGGCTCCTGGGGAGCCCAGGTGAGTGTGCGTCTGGGGCCGATACCTGGCCGTGGGCTTGGAGGGCGACAGGGTTTGCTCGTCCTGAGCTTCGTCCTCATTTCTCCCAGTGGCCCCCCCACAGCAGCGTCTGAAAACTGCCTACGTTTCACCAATACTTGGTGTTGCCAGAGCTTCCAAACGCCGTCTGCTGAACCCGTGGCTCTGACCCCCGTTTCAGTGCTCATTTCGTGAAGGGTCCGTGACGTGGTCCTTAAACACCTGCTCTCCGGACTCCGGCTGTAGAGTTCGGTCCCGGGTCACCTGTGCACGGGCCGTGTGACCCTGGGCTAGTGACCCGCCTGCTTGGTGCGGAGTAAATTCAAACGTAAAACCAGGATCACGTTTGTTTTTATTTTATAAGGTTGTTTTGAGGATTAAATAAATTCATACTTATAAAGTGCTTAGAACCCCACCTGGCACATAGTAAGTTCTCCTTGAACGTTACCTGTTTTACGTTGTTGTTATTGTTCATTCTCGTCTCTTTTCCTCTGTTCTTCGCCATTCTTGCAGCGTTTCCCAATTTCATTTGTCATTTCAAAGAAACCAGCGTAGGTTTTGTGGATGGTCTCGTTGCTTTGTTTTCAGCTTCACCACTTCTTCTCACAACACTGTTTGTTCCTTTTGCTTTCCTTTGTACCTACTATGCTGATTTTTTCAACCTTTTGTTACAATATTTGCATTTATCACTGCAAACTTTCCCCGAAGGACAGCTTTTGCTATAGTTCACAAGTTTTGATGTGTAGTGTTTTCATTACATTTAATTACAACTATAGTCCAATTTCTACTATGATTTATTTTTTGACCTATGGATTATTTAGACCTATATGTTTAAATTTCTGTGTGTTTAGCAGATATTTTGGACTATACATTTGTTAATTTCATTGCCTTATTATAAACAAATTCTCCGTGGGATTTGAATTCATTGGGTTTTTTAAAAATGTTTTGGTGTCATAATACGTGGTCGACATTACTTTAAAAGGGTGTGTGTTCGTGTATTCTTGGGTTAGTGTTTTCGTAAGAGATCAAGTTTGTTAATTGTGTTGTTCTAAGTTTTTTAT